AAGTTCTTGGTGAATTTGAGGTTGCCACAAAGCTCTTGAAAGATGATGCAGAAATGCAGGTACTCCTTATTTAAATTTATTTCTTATAGTTGATTGTCAATATGTAGAAATTTTTAGGAGTCTTGTTTTCAAATTTTTGATGTACTTATCTCTTTGAGCTCCATGGATAACTTACATATATATAACAAGCTTGATTGATGTATATGACCCACATGCACTAGCTTAAGAGGGAGTATTAGTTGTTATAGATAAGATCTCTTATCCTTACAATTTAGGAGTTATCTTTAATTGGAGATTTGAATTGTAATCGGATTTAAATATAAATTCATAGGGGCCGAGAGGAATTCTCTAAAATGCAACCCAATTGTTTACCATAGAGAATTCCTCACAACCAAATTCAACTGGCACAGTGGCACCCGTTCACAATGAAGACGTTGACAATGAGTGTACAAAGGATCTCCCTACAGGCTACAGCAATACCAGAACCATAATCATAAATTAGAATGAGCCTAACCGGAAAATACTGCAGAAATTCTGACTAAAAAATGTATAGAAAACAGATGTCATCTGGATGCCGTTTTATTTTAAAATTTTAAGAATCAAGTTGTCTAAATATTAGTGATCAGTAATTGTACAATATAGTACAATATATACATATATACATACATGACTTATCGTTTCTCAAGTTATTTGAGATAATTTTATTTTTGACTACTAAATTATAATCGTATAAAGATGGATTAATGGTAATAAAGAAAGAGAAAGAAAGAAAATTATAATCATTCAAATGTGAATAAATTAATATAAGAAAATAAATAAACAAAACATCATAATTTTTTGGTAGACGAAAATAAATATATCTCAAGTTGTGTGATGAATATTTTTATCATATATATGGGTCAGATTATTTTATACTAATATAAATTACACTCTCAGTTTTATCAATTAGTCACTATATATATATTAGTCGGTAAAAAGTTTCAAGTTGAAGGAAATAATTAAAACAAACAAAATAGATAAGTGGGTGTCATTGGCCAAAGGGCCCTTCCTGTGTATACACAATTGTGTTAAATAAAACAACATTACACATATATATTGAAATACTAAATTGGTGCAAAACTGCAAATAGTTACTTTCCAAAGAAAACAAATTAATTTGGGATGTCTACCACACCAAATATTGCGTAGCTGTCTATTCATTTCACCAAAAGAACTAAAAAAAATAAAAAATAAAATAAAATCATAAATATTTACTTATTCAAAATGTGGGATACCAGGGGTATCAAATATATCCATAAGTACCTCATAATAACTTGTGATTTGATGTTAAATAATTAAAATTTCCATCGTACTTTCAGCAGCCATAACAGTACTTGAATTATGTCGAACACTTGAAATTGTCGTTTCATAAAGGAGAAATTTTTTTTACCAGACAAATTCTTTTACTGGTAATATAGTAAGAAAATAAATTTGGTAGGAAAATTAAAAAAAAGTTATTTGATATATTAAAATATTATCCGAGAAATTGATGTAAGTTTTCAAAGTCTATGTTTAATTGAAGATAATATATTGATGAGATAATGAGTATAAATTACCAAAATGGGCACTTTTAATTTTGAAGCTGAAAAAAAAAACCCTCGACTAAAATATGAGTGATTCGATCGATGGGGTTATCTCCAAATTATGATGTTCCTTTTTCAAATCTTTGTCTTTTGTTGTGTCTCTCTTTCAAAATTGTCGACCAAATCTTCGAAGTTTTGAGCGTGAGTTATAAACAGTATGTTGAGTTGTTTGACTTCCTATGTTGACCAAATCTCGTCGTTACTTGAAGTCCCAGCAAGCTGAAGTATGTTGAGTTGTTCACTGATGCTTGAAATTGGGAACCAAACATGCACCGTCGCTTAAAGACTCCAAGTAGCCAATGATGTATGCTTTGGTGGTTGAAAAATAGCTTTTTGTTGAAGAGGGGCATTTTCGATATAAATCTCCCGTTCATTTCTTCCTTTGCCCGGTTAACATCAAATATCACCTAGTTTGTGATTTTTTGAAACAATGAAATGGAGGAAAATTTAGGGGGTGTTTGGTAGGAGGGGAAAAAATTGACTGAGAAAAGAGGGTAGATAAAAATATATAGTCATGTTTGATAGAAGGAAGAGTTAAAAGGGGTTGGACACAATTTTTTCCCATCTGATTTTTTTACACATGGACCATTAGTAAAATTTTACCATGGATTGGGTAGAAATTTTTTTTACCTTTGCGGTGGTAAAATTTTACACATAACATCAGTAAAATTCATTCAATTTTCTCGGAAACATTTTGGCCTACCAAACACCTTGTTTAACTTACCCGACAAAAAATTCTTCCCAACATATTATGAGCAAATTTTTGTTACTGGTAAAAAAAAATTCTTCTATACCAAACGCCCTCTTACACACAAATGATTTTACCTGGGGAAACCAGTTGCCTGGTTCACTTTTTTAAACTCCTCTACCAAACATGGTAAAATCCTAAACCCAATATGATTTGCCTGGTTATTTAGGAGAAAAACTCCTACCAAATGCCCCCTAAAAGGGTGTTTGGTAGAGGAAAAAATATTTTATCAGGAAAATATAATTACTAGAAAAATGATGAGAATGTGCGAAAATAAATTTTCAGGAAAAGTTAAAAAAAATTATTTGGTAGGCCAAAATATTACGAAAAAAAATTTAGTGTAAAATTTCTACAAGTGAGTTTGCTATGGAAATCAAAATACCACTATAAAGTCGTATTTCCAAGTGGACATTTTCCTTCATTTTTATACTATAAAAATTTTCCCATCAAATTTTTTTTTCAAGGAAAATTTTTCCTACTTCGTACCAAATATGTTCATTTGTGAATCTCATTTACCACTTTCCTAACATTCTAAAAAAAAAAAATCCACCTATCAAATACCCCTTTAGATTTGTTGTAGAAATTACTGGTAATAATATGACGAGGAGGAAAAAAAATGTGAAATCAAAATGGTAATAAGCTATGAAGCACCGATACTGTAAAGAACCTTGGGATACACCACCCCAAAAGCTAGCTCAAAGGGTGGGAGTGCTCAAGGCTTTATAAACTTCACATTAGTTGCTCATACAACCAATGTGAGACTATATATCTCAACACGCCCCCTCACACAAGAGCCTATTGGGCTTGAAGAGTGGACAATGCAACAGGCCCAACCTTACCTGTGCTAAGAAATTCCACAAAAGAAAGTGAGGGCGGCGAGGATCGAACCCGAGACACGAGGCTCTGATACCATGTAAAGAATCAATTCATCCCAAAAGCTTAAGATGTTGGGTGAGGTTACATTAATGATTTTATATATCTCAACACGGCCCCTCACACCAGAGCTCACTGAGCTTGAAAGGTGGACAATGCACATGCCCACCTACCTGTGCGAACAAAGAAATTCCATTTGAAAGAAAGTGGGGGGCGGCGAGGATCGAACCCGGAACACGAGGCTCTGATACCATGTAAAGAACCTTGGGATACACCACCCCAAAAGCTAGCTCAAAGGGTGGGAATGCCCAAGGCTTTATAAACTTCACATTAGCTGCTCATACAACCAATGTGGGACTATATATCTCAACAGATATTTCAAAAACACTGATGTGTCGTGTCTGACACTCCACTATTTATTGCAAAGACTCAAAAAAGGTTGAAAGGTTACGTTGAGTCTTATTTTGAGTTCCAACTGTTAGATTCGTTAGATTACGATTACCATTTTATCAAGTTTAATATAAAAATTTCGAATATCTTATGTTATTTTACAAAATTGATGGGTATTCTAAGTTTAACTTTATTTTTTGTTAAATTATTAAATATTAAATATAATATACACAATATAAATTAAAAATATTATATAATATCAAAACATCTTTTAACAGGTCAAAATTTAATATTTTTTAAAATTAACGTGTTAGAGTGTCGTGTTGTATCGTAACTACGGTGCTTCATGAAACTAAGAAATCGAAAGGTTAAAGAGTGAGCTTCATATATGGAGATTTTTGAGCTAATATCGAGTTTCGTTCGTTTTGGAGGTAGTGTTTTCATTCGTTTGTGTTATGGACCCATATGATGGGCCCATTAAGTAGTAAGCCCAACAAGGGGCAATCCAAGATATAGATTGATGCTAGTTAAATCCTACTAATCTTAGTGTCAGCACAGTTATCCACTTGATGTGTCAGCATAGCTATCCAAACTATCTACAGGTAAACTCTGTAAATACCAGGGCAAACCCTAAAGGTACAGACATTCTCTCTCTCATTGTTATGTTGTCACTGTGCGCACACACACCCCATTGGCTAACGCCACTATAGTATTCTGTGCACAGTGATCTCCTTGACTCAAGGGTATCTCCCTCATAGATACCTTGGAGAGGGCACCAGATCCAATATTAACATACTAGCCTGACTGGGCTAGACATCTCTGTCTCAAGGACAGAACATTGGCGCCGTCTATGGGTATTCTTTTCTCTGAATTTGAATCTGAAGTTCCCACCAAATCTGACAAGGGATGGCAATCCAGACAAGGAGCAGTAGCCAGAAGCCACCCCCAAACCAAAATCAGTCGTTGGATCCAGTCATTGAGGAGATAAATCAGCCTCATAATCAGATCGGAAACAACGTGGATTACGATCATGTCCAGGTCGAAGACGATGTTTCGGACACCGCTTCAATGCCGGCACCCCGAAATGGGGGAGCTGCAGCGAATGTAGCTCCTGTAAGGAGCAACCCTGCCCAGCATCCTGGCGATCTGGCTGCGCGCGTCGCTCAATCAGCCGATCTGGATACTCGGTTGGCCAACAACGCGTTAAACACAATTATGGAACGAATAGCAGCGCTGGACACCCGTACGAACTTGCAACGGCAACAAGATTTCAGGGCTATTTGAGAGGAAAATAACAGAGGGATGCAAGACCTGGAGCGGCGATTAACACGGCGGGATGCATGACCAATTTCGAAGGCCAGCCTGCCTATGGCCGAGAAGGACCTAGAAACCCGGCTCAATCATACCAAGTTCCTCATGCAGAGAACCCTGGTAAACCAGGGGCACCAGGTCACTGATGGCCAGGATGCACAAAATCATCAAGCACATGCTGACGGTCAGGAGGACCGGGTTAGAGCTCAGTATCAACAGGATATTCAAAACATCCGAGGACGCGTAGAACCTGGTGGATATAGGAGGAAGTACAGCAGGGGGCAGTATAATAATAGCCCATTCACTACTGAAATATTAAATGTTGTCTTCCCAGAGGACTTCGACTCGGCACGTTTACTGAAATATGATCGGAGCCAAGATCCTCAGGTGCACATAGATGCCTTTGACACGGACATGTATATTCGGGGAATTGATGAACCTCTCATATCCCGGATATTCGCTGTAACATTGACGGGGGCGGCACAGGCATGGTTTTCAACCTTGCCTGCTAATTCCATCGGATCCTTTGAGGAGTTCGGACAGAAGTTCCTGTTGAACTTTGCAACCAGCAAGAAGCATCCAAAGTCCGAGTTCGCTCTAGGAAAGATACGACAGCAACCTGGAGAAACCCTCCAAAGATACCTTAACCGGTTCAAGGACGCTGCACTGCAGGTCCCAGGGTTGCAGGAGAATGTCCACGTCCATCTCATTGTCGCAGGTCTGGATGGTGGATCCAGACTCGCCAAGTCGGTCTATAAGGACCCAGTAAAGACATTGGAGGAGTTTAGAACTCGCTCGAAGAAATACCTTGAACTAGAGCAAATGGAGATTGCAAATGCGCAATCTGATGAAGTCAACAGAACAAGCCCGAGAAGGAGGAGTCCACCCCCGAAGGGAAAAGAACGACTTGACAGTAAGAAGAAGGATTAGCGCCAACAGATCTTAGACATGAGAGAACGCATTGGAAGGTACGATAAGTATACACCTTTGAATGCGTCGCGTTCTCAAATTTGGAAAGAAATAGCCACGACGGAGATGAAAAAGGAGGAGAGACCTCGTCCCATATTTGACAGAGGAGGATTAGATAAGTCCAAATATTGTGCTTTTCATGATGGGTCAGGTCGCACCACTGACCAGTGCTGGGATCTCCGAGACGCGGTGGAGAAGTTTGTGAGAGACGGTAGATTACGTCAATATGTGATAAAAACACAAGGTTCCAAGAAGAACAAAAGGAAGTTGGGAAACAGGAACCGAAGCAAAAGCCCCGTTACTGAAAAGAAGAACAGACAGGATAAGAATCAGAAAAATGATTCCAACTATGACGAATTCCCAGAAGCGGAATTCGATTGTAATGTAATTAGTGGAGCTTTGGGAGGTGGAGGAGATACTGTAAGTGCAAGAAGAAAGTACTTGAAAGAGGTACTTGAAAGAGGTACTCTCCATTCGAGATCGTCCCAAGTTCAAAGAAGACTCAACCAAGCCAGATCCACCTCTGTTATACTTTACCAAGGAGGACATGCGCGGGGTGCTTCTCGGTCATGTTGACGGACTGGTAATCGCAGGGACCCTAGTAAACTGCCGGGTCAGGAAGATTTTCGTGGATGCAGGAAGTTGTGCCAACATCATACTCTGGGATGCTTTTAAGAAGATGAACCTGGATAAAGAGGACCTTAAACCTTACAGAACGACGTTGGTAGCCTTCAACGGAGAACATACGCCTCCTAAAGGTTACATTGATCTCAGGTTAACCCTGGGAACAAAAGAAGCGTTCAGATCAGAGCGGGTTAGGTTCATAGTGGCTGACTTCCCATCAGAATACAACATAATCCTGGGAAGGCCAACCATACATCAGTGGGCCATGCTGGTTTCTACAAAACACCAGAAGTTAAAAATGGTGAGCAATAAGAATGAAATAATCAATGTTTGTGGAGATCAGAAGGAATCTAGAGGTTGTTACTTTGATACTATTAAAGAAAATGAAGGGGGACGTTCGAGCCCACCCCGAATTCACCCGGGGGATAAAACCTGTAGGAATCTAATTCCTCAACAATCTAAAAAGCCGGTGCACATGGTTGAACTCAACATGAGAGAAGAAGTAATGCCGAGACCTGAACCTAATGAAGAGCTTGAGGATCTAACGTTGGGGGTAGAGCCTGGTCAGTTTACTCGCATTGGTAAGGCCATAGACCCCCAGATCAAGCAAATTTTGGTCGACTTTCTTAAAAGCAACACAGATGTATTTGCGTGGAAGTCGTCAGAGATCCCTGGCATCGACCCTGCATTCTGTTGTCACAAATTGGCAGCTTATCCGGGGTCCAAGCCTGTTTCGCAGAAGAAACGGAAACTGGGACCTGAAAGGCAACAAATTCTACAGGAGCATGTTAAAGAACTCTTGGATGCTGGTTTCATTCGAGAGATACAGTACACAACGTGGCTAGCTAATGTGGTCATGGTGAAAAAACCGAATGTGAAATGGAGAATCTGTACTGATTACACAGATTTAAACAAAGTTTGCCCAAAGGACGCTTATCCTATGCCCAACATAGATCAGCTGGTGGATAATTCTGCTGGATTTCGTCTGTTGTCTTTCATGGATGCCTATTCAGGATACAACCAGATCCCGATGTACCCAGCGGATCAGGAAAAAACAGCCTTCATTGCTAAAAATGCCAATTATTGCTACAATGTGATGCCATTTGGGCTTAAAAACTCAGGGGCAACTTACCAGAGGATGATGAATAAGGTCTTTGAAGATCAGCTGGGCAAAAATGTAGAAGTGTATATAGATGATATGATTGTGAAGTCATTCGATATGATGAATCATGTTCGGGATCTTTAGCAAACGTTTCAAAAGCTCAGAAAGTATCGCATCCGTCTCAACCCAGTAAAATGCGCGTTAGGGGTGGCAGCTGGAAAATTTCTCGGTTTCATGCTAACCCATAGAGGAATTGAGGCTAACCCGGATAAATGCAAGGCAGTTCTTGACATGATTGTACCTCAAAGTAAAAAAAAGGTTCAACAGCTAACCGGACGATTAGCGGCGCTAACCCTGTTCCTTCCAAAATCGGCTGAACATGCCCTCCCATTCTTTAAACATTTAAAGAAAGAAGCAACTGACGGATGGAACCCGGCGTGCGAAGCTGCGTTTGAAAAAATAAAAAAGTGTTTATCAACTCCACCGATCCTCTCAAAGCCAAACACAGGAGATGTTTTAATTCTGTATTTGGCAGTAGGGGAGGAAGCAATAAGTGTTGTGCTGATCAAGGAAACAAACGAAGGCCAGGAGCCAATTTACTTTGTCAGTAGAGCACTACAAGGTGCAGAGGTCAGGTATCAAAAGCTAGAAAAAGTGGCTTTTGCCCTATTAATCACGGCTAGAAGGTTGCGGCCGTATTTCCAGGGCCACCAAATCAGGGTTATTTAAGTACTTTTCACCCTCAACTTATAACTGCCACGATCGTGGATGGAAACCGCAATCATCATGCGCAAAATCACAGCGCAGAGGAGGCTAAAGGGCGAGGGCAAAACCGCCACCTCACACACAAAAATATATATATAAAAGTAAAATTTTGATGACAAGACAGCTGAAGCGATGCTGCAATAAATGCGCACGAAACGCAATGACAGCATAGGAACGGCCACATCACACTATAGTACGCAGGCTGGAACACGTGGCACAATGCAATGATCATCGTTCACAAACCTACATATGAGACAAACGTGTATGAACATACAGCTGTTCACCGAGTTTGGAGCTGATGCTGGGGTAATAATCAACTCAAGTAGCACAGCTTCTACCCGGCATCATAAGGAAGCAGTAGGCATACATGCATGCCCTTGTAACCCGGGTACAATGCCGACGCAGGTTCTTCATGAAAATACCGACGGGATCATACACAATCGTTGACCAAATCAATATGCAGATACATTCTGAGATCAGGAATACCGCTTGGGGGAAATCTGCAAATAGGATCAAGCAACTCAAGCGTATTCTTCACTCAGAATAGCAATATGGTTGATGCTCAACCAGCAAGGTAAAACGAAGAAAAACGACGCTGCATATAGGGAAGATGAGAACCCGAAAGCAACGTGTCTGCCGACATTGGGGGGCAGCCAAACAGATCGGCATTGTACCTGGTTCAAACATTGCAGGGTACACAAAATATCCCACCGGGTTGATACTCGACTCAAGAGGGGCAAAGAACATCCCGTGAGAAAAAAGAATTCGCTCGTCAGAAGAGCGTACAAGTCTACAAAAGCGCACTCATAGGTTCATCCCGACTACCCGGATACCCAGGTAGCCCGGCTGAGGGGCAACTGTTATGGACCCATATGATGGGCCCATTAAGTAGTAAGCCCAACAAGGGGCAATCCAAGATATAGATTGATGCTAGTCAAATCTTACTAATCTTAGTGTCAGCACAGCTATCCACTTGATGTGTCAGCATAGCCATCCAAACTATCTACAGGTAAACTCTATAAATACCAGGGCAAACCCTAAAGGTACGGACATTCTCTCTCTCATTGTTATGTTGTTACTGTGCACACACACACCCCATTGGCTAACGCCACTATAGTATTCTGTGCACAGTGATCTCCTTGACTCAAGGGTATCTCCCTCATAGATACCTTGGAGAGGGCACCAGATCCAATATTAACATACTAGCCTGACTGGGCTAGACATCTCTGTCTCAAGGACAGAACAGTTTGTGAACTATTTTTTATTTTTTTTTAATCTTTTTGGCGGTGTTACACTATGATGCACAGACACGGACACGGGACACGACACGACACGATACGCCGACACGTTAATTTTAAAAAATGTCATATTTCGACACGTTGGGACACGTTTTTATATTAAATAAAAATTTTAATATATATAATATAATTTATATTTAATACATATAAGAGTCCATAATAAGTCATATAACCAATCAAATATTTAAAATTTATAACATAAATATAAATATAAGTAATTTTTCGTATTTTGTTAATTTTTAATGTCAAATTTCATAACAGAAAAAAATTAATTTATAAATTATTTATTTTATATTTAGTTAACAAAATAAAATTAAGATTTAAAAAAAAAAAGTGTCCGAGCGTGTTCCCAAATGTTGACCTCGTCTCCCCAAATATTGATCACGTGTCGAAACGTGTCGGAGAGTTGACCGCGTGTCCGTGTCGGACACGTGTCCGGCACGCAAATTTTAAAAAAATTTGCGTGTTCGTACATATGAGGTGTTACATACAAGAAAAGAAGAAAATATTAGGAAGGAATACATCTCAAATGTTATGTCATAAATTCTTAATTTGCTAATTTTACATATTTTCATATGCAAATTCTGTATATTTGAAATATTTGTAACATAAATTAAGATTCATAAGTATATATAATAATAATAGATGAAAAAAACTGGATAGAATTTTTTTTTTAGAGTTTAAATCGGTTTAATTTGGTTTGCGCACATTCGAATTCATATTTGAAGCGGCTCTTCCAATATATTTTTTTCATAGGATTTGAATTTCAGATATCCCTCTATAAAAAAAAATAAAAAAGTTTCAGAAATCTTATTAAGAGAAACAAAACTATCACTTTTTTTTTTGTTTGGTATCCTATTTGGGCAAAGAAAACCGCAAACAGGCTAAGAAACAGAAATACAACGAGTACTACTGGTACCCCCTAAATCAGCTAAATACAATAATAAAATACCAGAAGGAGGAGACGGAAAAACACAAAAATCTTCAAGATCCTGATTAGCCAGAGGTAAATTTGAAAGCCAATCAGCACAGCAATTACCCTCTCTTTACGTATGCTTTATCTTTACTGACCATTCCCTGTTCATCCAAGCCCGTATACGAGACACCAAATGTTGCTCACAGGCTGGCTCACTTGAATTAGTAAGCCAAGTGACTGCTGTTGCCGATTCACTTTCAATAATTACTTTTTTCCATCCTCCTTCCCAAGCCAATTGTATTCCTTGAGAATACCCCACAATTCTGCTTGGATAGCACTACAATAACCCACTCTATATGAAAATCCAGTGAGCCACTTACCAGTATTATCTCTTATCAATCCCCCACATGCTGCCACTCCAGGATTCCCCTTAGCAGCCCCATATGTGTTAACTTTGATCCAATCATCTTCCGGAAAATTCCAACCAATTGAAATCGGTATCCTGCTTGCAGTTGGCGTTCCCTGAATCTTCCTCTGTGCAACAGCCCAAAACTCCTTAGCCCGACTTAATGTTAAGTTGTGATTGTATGCATATTGTAAATTTAGACCCCCATGCATTTTATCATTTCTCCACTTCCAACAGAGCCAAGCCGTAACAGCAAAAATTGAATTCCAAGGTACATCATTATTAACAGTAGAGAGTGTTCGAAAATTGGAACTAATCCATTCGGTACCTTCCATCACAAAGAAATCGGGACAACAATTTTCAGCTCCTAAATTAATCCAAAGATTATGGACACAGGAACAATCACGTAAGGCATGAATCCAGGACTCTTCACCAGTTTTGCATAAGGCACACAATGGATCCCCCATCTGCATATAAGCCAATCTTTTCTTTGTAGTCAGTCTCCCATGAGCTACTATCCACCAGAAAAATTGGATCTTGTGAGGACCTTTCCAGCTCCAAATTAACTTCCAAATGTCAGAGCTTGTTGATTCTATTTCTGTTTGCTTTGTGAGCAACCCATATATACCTTTCACCGAGATACCATTACCACTAGCAATATTCCATTTCAAATGGTCAACACCATCAAGGGGATGGGGAGGGAGATGACTTCTAATAGTTTCAATATCAGCCACAAGGAGCCACCTAGACGGCCTCTCTCTATCCCATTCTCTAGCATCATTGACATAATCAGCAACCATTTTTCCAGCTTCCTCCCATGGAATGGGCTAAGTTGTTTTATCAACAAAACTATCACTTAAATGCAAGGTTGTTGGTAAGAAAACATCTTTAATCACTCTTATTTATTCCTTTAGATTACTCTCTTTATAGGGTGACAATTTGTAAATAAATTTTAAATTAAGTAATTTTATATACATATTTTATTTTAAAAAAATAGTCAAACAATCACTTTTTTCTTTCATGAATTTCTTAAATCAAACGCAAAAGCAACCCCAAACACTAATTTCAGCATAAAATTGATTTTGAAGCTAAAATTTCATTAGAAGGAGAAAGTGTTCTCTTGAGAGACAGAGAAGTTCAACGGTGGCTGTTATATTTTATGTAGGATTTATTTGTCCTTTTTCAGGTATTTATGAATGTGATACCTTTGATAGTAGGCAAATTACTGTGCATAATAATAATCGATATAGTTAAGACGTAAGGTGTATGCACAGTGACAAGTGAGAGAGAGAGGATTTAAAATGTATGTACCTTATTGACTTAACCCCTTATTTATAGATGAATTATATGAAAATAGTGTACTTCTGAGATTCTTAGAAATATTAAGGGTCCAGATCTAACTGCTTAACTGTCCAATAAAATCGTCATTATTAGAAGATTCTATTCTTTTTGTGTTGTTCTTTATTGAACCTTTTAGAATATAGATGTGTTTGTCGTGTCTACAAAGGAAAATAAAACCAAGAATATTAAAAAATGAGTAAACTTTGATTTTTCATTCGAAATTCCATTCGCGTGAGCATCAAAGCAAAGATAGACTCGTAATTTTAAAGGACTCCAGCTAGTACACGTTTTACGATTCACAAACAAACAAACAACAAAACGAAGCATCACTCACACATTCATGAATTGAGTGATCAGAAAACGCACAACTTGCAAGGCGATTAGGATATAAAATGCCAAAAAGTGACATTATTCTTTTTAATGTATTAAAATTTATTAGATCACATATTATATTTGGGTGAGCTTATTGCTATTTCAGTTCTCTATTCACATTCTCTCTTTTTGTTATTTATATTTATATAGTTTTTAAAATTTTAATTAATTGAAAAATCTCATTCAAATTAATTCTCAATTGGTTATATTTTTATTTGAAAAGTTTTGAAATTACAATTAAAAATAATTAGAACCAATACTACCAGTAGATTATTACATTAAATTTACAATTTTTACTTGAAATTTTTGTTTTAATTGTTTTGAGTATAACTGGTGAGTTTTACTTCAAACTTTAACACCAATACTTATATAATTATATTTAAGCATGAATTCATGAAATATTTACTGTTATACACTAACAAAAAGGATTTTCCACTACCTTAGTTCAAGAATTCAAATTCTTCCTTTGCCTGATAGTTTCACTTGATAGATATATATCTTTACACTTAAGGGACCGTTTGGTACGGGTTTTTTTTTCAGGATTTTCGTGAAATTGAATTTTTTTAAATTTTAAATTTTCGGATATTATCGTAAACTTAATAAGAAAATCATATTTTTGAAATTGAGATTTTCGGACAAAAAAAAATTTCTCCTCTACCAAACGTCCCCTTATGAATTGTTTAAGTAACTTAGCTCTTTAAAATTTCATGTATATTACTGAAACATGAACTCATATTATATACACATTTATAAAACTGATAATCGTAGACTTAAATCTCCTATACATTTTGCCTATAATTTATCTTGCTATTCACTCTCGAGTTTATACATTAGACTTCATTTTTCAAACACAAAGGGCCGTTTCACAAGGAAAGAAATAAAGGGTGGCGTGGGCATAAGTCCGCTCATCCACCCGAGAACAATTTTATGAGAATTTTTATGCGTTATGAGACTATTACGTGTAATCGATTAAAAATATGATGAATAAAAAAATATATACATATTATTAGAATAAATTAAAAGTATTATATAAAAAATTCACATATATTGTATTTCAACCGTTGGAAGTATTAGTAAGAATGCACATATTTATTACCGCTATTGGTAGTTTAGTCTTATTATTCTTATTACCTGATTAATTATTATTATATTAATTTAAAATAAATGATAATTATTATTTTTTTCATTTTTTAATCATTAATTTTAAATTAATTCAATAATAATTAATCATGTAATAAAAATAATAAAATTAAAATAGTAGTAAATATAATCGACTCAATTTATTATTTACTATACATGTGTCATCAATCAGGGTAACCGGTCAAACAGTTTGTGTGCTTAATGGAATAAGTACGTTATTATTACTGCAAGATTACAGTAATAAATAGCAACTGAGCTATTATCCTATTTAATTAACACAATAAGACGCAACATGCGAAGATTGAAAAAATCAAACTTTCAATTTACTTTACATATCACTTGATTCACGTCTTTGATGATATAATAAATAAGTTTTAATTATTATTTAGTAAAACAAATCTAAATATTTTATTACAAGCATTACACAATCGTGGATGCTAGGGAAATGAAGATGACAATTGTGTAAACTCTGTGTGATAGGGTGGGCGTGAGTGAAATATTTGTGAGCCCTAGCTACCCACAGTGAATATTAAATAAATACAGGGAGAAGAGAGAGACACCGACTCGCACCTCACAACACAACACACACGTTGACACATCTCACACACACACACAAACTCAATACATCACACAACATCACGTTGGATATGTAGCAGAACTGCAACGCCCCTTTCTTCTTCTCTTCTGTTCCTCTCTCATCTTCCGCTTCCACTCTCTCTCCCCTCTGCCATTTTCGCTCCTTCAATTCCCTCTTTCTCTCTATTTAACAGTTTACAATTCTCGTTTTGCCTCAATGCTATGAAACTTTCTCGCTCCGTTTTCTCCCTTTCTCTCTGAATTCATCTTCTCTCTATCTCTCTCTCCTCGAAAAGGAAGGAGAAAGAGGTTTTTGTTGTTGTTGTTCTTGCTGTTGAAGAAGAGGAAGAAGAAGAATGGATTCAACGGAATCTTCGTACATGTCTTCTCCTGAAGGAGCAAGGAAGCACGCTGCTTCACCTCCTCCCAAGTCCACTTCTCCAGGTATCTGATCCGATCTGATCTACTTTCTCTCTCTCTCCCTTCATTCGGTTCATCGCTGTTTCGCTTGCTATTTGGTATGGATAGTAATGTAGTTATGTGACTGAATGTCGGTGACGTTATTCTACGGTCAACGTTTCATTCCGAACCCTAATTGTTGAGAATGGAAGTCACACACCACGCTACTGCTGCTTCTGATTAGATTTAGAATTTTTCTCAAATGAAGAAAATAAAGATATAAACATTGTTGCGTCATGTCTCATTTGCGGATGTGATTTTTTTGGTTTTTACTTTTTTTTTGTGATTTTTTTTATTTATTAACTTCTGTTTTGGTAGTTGGATTATGATAGCGTTACGATTTTTGGAGTGAAGTAATTGTTCTGACTTTTTACTTTTTTTCAGTTCTTAATTTCTTAGATACTGATCATCATAGAATGAAAATATGCTCACCAAGTTAATAGATGTGAAGGAAAATATGCGATTTTTTTTTTTTTATTTCTTAGAGCCGAATGGGTTTTTTTACTTTTTATTTTAAAGAAAACATGTTTTATTTTGAGAAAGGTTGGAGTTATTTTCAGGTTTCAATAAACTTAGGGCGTATTCTGCAGTGTACATCCATTACCTAATTAGAAAACGTGAGCTTTATCATTTTGGACTTTGGCTATTAAACTTTGACGGAAAAGTTTCTAAGAGTCAGTTAGGTATCCCCTTAGAATTGAGTCTGGAAAATTCAGGGTTGAGTTTGCTTTATAATTTTATATTTTCATGTAAATCTCATCACAGAATTTTTCATCCCTATTTTTATTTGGAATTTTGGATACCACACTAACCTTGAAAGTAGCAATTTTGGTTTAACCTAAAAAGAGTAGCCCTATTGTGGATCCTCATTAGCTTCATAAAATGAAGTTGGTCTGCCTCTTAAGGGACTTCCTGGTTTCTGAGTTTAATTTTTTGAATATGTAAAAGTTTTATTTTAATTCTTTGTGATAACCTTTTTACGTAATGTTTGCTTCTTTCAGATTCTGAGGAGAAGCCAACGTATGTTAGATTTCTTGTATCAAACTCTGCAGCTGGTTCTGTTATTGGAAAGGGTGGTTCAACTATCACTGATTTTCAGTCACAGTCTGGAGCACGAATTCAGTTGTCACGCAATCATGAATTCTTCCCTGGAACTACTGATAGGATTATTATGGTATCTGGTGCAATAACTGAAATACTAAGAGCTGTAGAACTTATACTTTCTAAGTTGCTCAGTGAGGTAATCTCCGTGATGTCAATTTATTTAGTTATTGGAAGAAAAGATTTCTTACATGTTTCTGAAATTAATTTGCCTTCTGTGATTAGCTTCATAGCGAGGATGAAAATGATGCTGAGCCAAAAACAAAAGTGAGACTCATTGTCCCCAATGGTTCTTGTGGTGGAATAATTGGAAAGGGAGGTGCTACCATTAGGTATCATTCCTTTTCTTTATCAAGTAGTAGGGTCTACTTGTTTGCCGTGTTTATGAATAGTTAAAGTAGTTTTTGATACTTATGTTTGTTGATTTCTGTTATGGGAATATGTCTTGGTTTCAAGATGTTGTTTCTTGTATGGGTGCTGGTTCTTTGGTGTCTGAGATTTTATTTCCCCTTGTTTCCCCCTCCAGCTGAAAAAAATAATGTTATTTTGTAGTTCAACTATTATTTTTTTCATTGCAGGATCAATTCTCTATGTTTGTACGTTATTCAGATATGGTGATAAAAAACTTATCTTAAAAATTCTTTATCTTTGGTCAGGTCATTCATTGAAGAATCTCAGGCTGGCATTAAGATATCTCCTCAAGACAATAATTACTATGGACAGAATGATAGGCTAGTGACAGTAACAGGAACTCTTGATGAGCAGATGCGTGCGATTGATTTAATTGTTTCTAAGTTAGCTGAAGATCCTCATTATTCACAGTCCATGAATTCTCCATTTTCATATCCTGGTTAGTGTCATTTATTTATACCATGGAATATCTCTTATCTATTCTTAGATTTTGCTGATGTGTTTAATTTATTTATTTTGGAGAACCTAATACGGAAGATAGGAGTAGTTGCTAATCTTAAATTCTGTCTTACCTATCCTCCGTTAACCCTGCTTTATTTGTGTATGGATCACTGTGATTATGGTCTTCTTTCATCTTTATTGCAGGATGAAAGTAGACAGATGCAATACTTAAAATAGTATATCATCCCCATTTTTTTTAGTTTAGTTTGTGGAAGTTTATGGGCATTTCTACCTTTTTGCTGTCTTTTAATGAGCCTGGCCCATCTATCTTTCTGCTTACTATATTGCTTACTCATACATAGAAGATAGTTATGGTAAGAAAATGTTCTCCCTACAACTTTATATAGTACAGTGTTAAAATGATTAGCAAATTTAATGTTTATACTAAAGATCTGTATATGAATGTAAAACGTATTTTAGATAGTTTAATAATCCATTTCAGAAACAACTGTGATTTATAGAATATCTTTGATCTTACTAGATAAGGTAGATTTATTAGAGAAATTTAAAAAGTGTAAGGATGTATTGATTTCAGAATTCTGAAAACGGACTGTACTGGCCTGTACAACTGGTAACTGTTCATGTCCCCAGTTCGGTCAGGTTATATAAACCTTCAGCCTTCATTTAGACCGTTGAAAAAGATGTAAACTGACTATGAATTGAACAAACTGTTTAAGCTATTAGAGCCTCAAAAATTTTGGGCACTGAACAACATCTGTACCTCTCTCCACGCCAATCTTCCAACTGCTACCATCTCCAGTATTCACTTTATCTGTGGCTGGTCAAGCTCTTTGTCTCTCCTCAACCCAGTTATTAGGCTGCTCTGCTACAATGTTTGCGTTGTTAGTTAACCACAGGAAGCTCTTGCTGTTGCTGGAACTGCAGCTTTGAAGGGGAGATGAGAAAAGAAAGAAAAGTGGAAGAGGAAGAGATAGAGTTACTTATAAATATAATATACTCATTTTTGGAGTTTTTATTTTTTAAACAGAAGGTTATTCTTTTTTTTTTATGGTAGTGAAATGATCTTAATCAAGATTTAATTCGCATTATCTTGTATAAGTAATATGTTTTGTGATGAATCATAATTGGTGAATTTGATGCTTGCTAAGTCGAATTTTTAACTTGTATTTTAGGTGTTTCCTTCTCGGGTTATCAAGGTGTTCCATATACTACTTATGTGCTTCCTTCTGTTGCACCAGCGACATACAATGCAATGAATTACAAACCAAATGGTGCGGGAGGGAAGTTGCAGAACAGCAAGGTTTTTCTCTTTCCTTTACTTTAATCTTGTTAATGGTTTCTTTTGTTGTAAGTTGCCAAGTTTTCCGGGTCAAACACCAAAAAAATAAAATAAATTAAATTCCCATATCTTGTTGTAGTGGAGGCTGATCAACAGGCATGCTGTGAAAATTGAAACCTTGCCTGAGGATTCCAGTGTTGCTATCCTGAAATTAATTTTTTTCCCATGCTACTCAGTAATCCTTTGAACGTTCATACTCAATGGGGTCATGCTCAATTGGTTGTAATTTATATGCTGAGTTGGATAAGTAGACATACAAGAAAAGATAAGATTAGGAATGAATGTATTCAGGAGAAAGCTTTAGTTGCACCTATTGCGGAGAAGATGATGGATACTCGCGTAAGGTGGTTTAGTCATTTGAATGTAAGACCAATACAGGCTCAAGTGTGAGAATGGATCAAATGGAAGATAGTTCAGTTAAAAGGGTTAGTGGAAGACCTAAGAAAACTTCTAAGAGAAACCATTAAAGAAGACCTTGTTCTAAATGGTTTTACTGAAAGCTTGGTTATGACTTTTGATAGATTAGAGCCCAATGGTGTCAATTATTCATGTACATGTAGTGCGATGAGGCTTGTTTGCTGTTATTGATTATGATGATGTTGATATTGAACAAAACTAAGTTTTGGCTGGTCTATCTATAAATGTCATAGCGAAAATAGGCAAAGGGAACAACTATGGAATCACATTATGTAATGGGCGCTCACTGTTTGAAGGGATGAAGATTAAAGACTTCCGTCAAGACAATCAAAGAAATTCAACAATTAAGTATAGTCTTGAAATAAATTAGAACATATTTAACTACGTGACAGTCTTGAAATTTAAAACATGATAACAATGAGTCCTAAAAGAACATAAAATGATGTTTGTCAATTAAGAAAAATAATTTAGTTTCCTGTTTGAGGGATCTGTTACTATAATTGACTCACTTTTCATGCATATCATTGTTATACATTTTTTATAAATTTTTTTTTCTTAATCATATGAAATCCAACATGCTATCATGAGATTATATGTCTATAATCAATAGTGAATTTGGCGAATGAAAAAACGACCTAGCCTCTATTTAAATCCTTGCACCCTCATGTTATGGTGATTTACTCTATCAGTTTGAACTGACATATGTTCTTCTATTGTTTTCTAGGAGGAGCGGAGTAACTCCGTGACAATTGGTGTTGCAGATGAGCATATTGGATTGGTTGTTGGTCGTGGTGGAAGGAATATAATGGATATTAGTCAGGTTTGCAAATGCGTAACGGTATGCATGATATAAAGTGAAAATTATACAATAAACTAACTTGACTAACTCTTACCTTTTCAGATTAGTGGGGCAAGGATAAAGATATCAGATAGAGGTGATTACATATCCGGAACAACTGATAGGTAGGAATTTGTTCACTCAATATTTTGCTTCCTTCATTACCCCAGTGTATCAGCAGTGTAAATCAAACGCCCTGACGTAATTTATTTTCCCATATATGTTTTACATGTGTTTCTATTTCCTTATTATACAGGAAAGTTACCATAACCGGATCCCAGAGAGCAATACGCACAGCTGAATCTATGATATTGCAGAAGGTTGCTTATGCTACTGAGAGAGTGATCGAGTAGTTCGCAAGTGCACTTGTCTACTGTTAGATGCTTAGTGAACCTGCTTGCTAATTGCTCATACATTTGCTGAATTTTGGGATTTGTTTTACTTAAATTATCATATCACATGATATACTCTGGAAGATCTTTATTTTAGTGGGAGAAAGCAGGATTTTTTTCTTAAATTGAGAGCCGTCGTCTTATAGGATTTCTTCTCAAACCTTTCAATGGACAAGATCGATTGGAAAGGGCATTCTTGCTTTTCCAAATGTAATATTGAGAACTATATTCTTTGGTTGTAAGTCAACAGTTGCTAATATCATTGACGATCTGTATCTTCAATTACTGGCTTGAGATAGGATTTGAGAATTATTTATTTGCTGTGATAGCTATTGAGAATTAGCAATTCACTTGTGGGTTGTCAGAACCCCACACCAGTGAGTTGTGTGTGTGTGTGTGTTTTTTTTTTCTTTTCATCGTAATCATTCTGCATTAGTTGAACTTACTATTTATTTATTTAAGACTAATTTGATGGCTTGGTTGGTTGGTGATTGTATCAAGTCCGGTTGTGCGTGATACCGTGTCTTAATATTCTGTGGACTTGAATCAGCAAGCATGTTTCCACTTTTCTTCGAAGTACACTGATAAAATCGTAATTTTCTTCTTAAAGTGAAACTCAATTATCATTTATTAAAAGGGTTCGTGGCTTCTGTGACTGCTGATGAGAAAAGTTGCAGTAAATTTTTAACACTAGGATACACGTGCGGATCTTAGGATACACGTGTGGATTCTATCAAAAAAAAAAAAAAAACAGGATTCGGACGCGTATCCTGATAAAAGAAGCTGCACTTTTTCCCTTCTGCAGTCAGATAAGAAGTACTTCCCCCTTATTAAAAAGCTATGACTTACACCTAAAACTTTCTCTTACTAAGTATAGCAATTTTCCTTCTTAGTGAAAACTTCATTGTGAAGACTCCAAAAGTTATAGCTGTTTCGGGGTACTCTTATAGCAGTTTGTTTTTTTACTTAAAAAAAAGGATACGAAAGAAAATAATTACAAAGATAAAAATTATATAAATATATATATTTTTTTTCATATTTGATAAAGTATTTACCGTAATACTAAAAGTATTTTCCACACTTTGCAGGCATAAGCATGCGAGATCGACTGGGATATTTCTGAAGCTTTTTGAAAGTTTGTGGGGGTCCTTTCTTTTGCCCTTGCAAGGCATATAAGCATGCGAGATCGACTGCGATATTTCTGAAGCTTTTTGAAAGTTGTGGGGGACAGGGGGTCCTTTCCTTTGCCCTTGGCATCCAAACCTGGTTTGATTTCGTCATGGTTGACATCTGCTACGTCACATTTAGATAGTGTTCCTTACTAGCTGTACCATACCTCCAAAAAAATATATATTTCAATGGATAGTTATAAAATTAAATGTTTTTAAAAAAATTTGTCTGATTGACGTGAAAAGAAAAAAAAATAACTTCAATAATTTAATTATGTATTCTTCAAAATATATAATTAAAATAATACCCTGGGTGGCTCTAAAAATGCTCTCTTCCAAAAGGTCTGTTGTCAGCTTCTGAGTGTTGCGAAACGATAAGTCGCGTGGAGTAGTGTCTGATTTAATTGAAAGTTTTATGTAATAATAGTTCTAAGGAAATAGAATAATTAAATAGGATATTGAGGACAAAAAATAGAATTTCAAAAGTAAAGTATTTAGGATTTAATTAAATAAAAAATATGAGGAAAAGTAATCCGAAAATTTTGTGTATTACTATGGTTACACACCATGTTTTATGAGATAATCTCGCAGTGTTGATTTGTCCTATATATTTTTGCGTCCGCAAAGATTGCGTATGCTTTGATCATGATATGGATTTTGATTGGTTATTGTACCGTAAGGATTATACCAGCTCGTTCCCTACAAGGGAGTAAAGTCACTATATAGGTGAGCTGATTAGTCCAGATACTGACCAAGCTAGTCAGTCATATTCCAAATATAGATCTAACAAGTATGGGGGGTAGTAGTTAGTGTGTTATGAGTTGGTAATGCAAAGGGTCAAAGTAACGGTACATAATCATCCTTTGTTAAGTGTTATGGGGGTATTTATAGGAAAAGGGGAAAGTTACCTCACACGAGTAGGTAGGGGAGGTCAACTCCTTGGGAGCTGCTAGACGGCCTGCGGTCAGGCGGTTGTAGCAATGACACCCTCTGTTGGTGTAGTAGCAGTCGCTGCCTTGTCCATGCTAGCAGATATTTTTTATTTAGGGGTCCTGAAGGATTTCTTTGCATGTGTTTGATCTCTAGGCAAGATATTAAAATGTCTTATCTTAGGAATACTCCTGTCGGGAGGTAGGAGGTGGAGAACGTCACTCGTCTTTGGCCAGTAGGACTGACGTGGGCGCCCATAGACAATTGGGCTTGCTGTGATGGGCTTAAGCTGCAGGGGCTTTCCAGAACAGTTATCATGTGGATGGTAACTATTGAATGTATACCATTTTAATTTTTGTGAATTATTACTATCTTTCATTTTAGTTATATAAATATTATAACACAGGGAATGGTATAAACAAAAAAAATTCCTCTTCTTCAAAGATCACGTAAAAAGCTCTCATTTTTATGGTTTGTAATGATATTGTTTTATAGTGTATGGTTGCAAATTACAAGTTATGTCAAACAAATATCATTATCATAGTTTAGTGTTTAGCGGACGGAGTTGCTTCTCTAACAACATCGTATATTGAATATGTACAAATAGCTTTTATTTTAATTTTTTTCATCAATAATTATAAATCTTTTGTTTAGAGGACTCAAGTCTGGGTTTAGTCATCGCTCGCCAATTGCCATCATTGTTGATTGCATTATCAATGTGCGTGTGCTCTCGGGGGATTCTCACTCCTCAAGGGCAGGCTTTGCTTTTTTGTTTGTTTGTTGGTATCCAAGCTTTGCTTTTAAATTTCATGGTTTTGTGAAAAAGATTAGCAAATCAAGTAATAAACGTACGGAACATTCCCTTTCAAAGCCATAAAAATGCTTTTAACATAAGTGGTGTAATTAAGAAGTTTGTGCCATTTAAAAATATTTAAATGACTTAATTCGATATGCTTAATTTTAATCCATTGTTGGATTTAGCATATATATATTGATAATGATTAAAAGCGAATTTTTTTCTTTTTGAAAATTTTAAATTTTTTTTTAAAAAGTAATTATATTTTTAAAATAAGTTAATTTAAATCCACACTTAAAAGATTTTTATACTATTATTACTCATATGTTAACATATTATTAAAATAAGTTTTTTCTTCTTAAATTATTATTATTCTAGTTATTTTTTTGTAATAATGTGTTAATATATGATTTGTGTTGTTTTACAAAAGACTCAATTATATCAAAAAAAATGGAAAGAGAATATTCTTTGCCTCACTCCAAGTCACCAAGTTAACATTAATTAATATTTGAGTTTAATAAAAATAAGATAAGATAATTCTAAAAAAGAGAGGAAGAGAGATAAAAGGGGAAACGCAGCTAACTATGCTTTCATTAATATTGTGCTTTATAACATCACTTACAACGATACACAGTAATATTTATAGTAACCATGATACATACATAGTATATAACACCACCATGCATGAAGCAGCACGACCAAGAAGTCACACTGCAAATTTATTTTTGGAAATGACATATAAGATTGAATGATACCTAAAAACAAAACCAATAATAATAATTAACTAACTCTTCATACGTTTAAGGGAATTCATTATCATATCCTCCACCACCAGACCCATATCCTGAACCATACCCAGACCCACTGCCGTAGCCAGAACCTCCATTACCTCCGCCACCACCTCCTCCTCCTCCTCCTCCTCCACCACCACCTTTACCTCCTCCTTCACCATAGCCACCTCCTTCTCCATAACCAGAACCAGAACCAGAACCAGAACCATAGCCAGAACCACCTGAACCACCACCACCACCTCCCCCTTTACCACCCCCTCCACCACCACCTCCACCTTTTCCAGCTCCTCCGCCAGACCCGTATCCAGAGCCATACCCGGATCCATATCCGGACCCATACCCTGAACCACCAGACCCACCACCACCTCCTCCACCTCCTCCTTTACCACCACCACCACCTCCTCCTCCTGTTACTCCACCATACCCTTCACCCCCACCAGACCCATACCCTGAACCACGTCCACCAACACCGCCACCACCACCACCTTTTCCACCAAGTAACCTAGCAGCAAAAGCTACGTCCACAATAAGCAAAACAATGAAACCAACCCCTATGACCTTAGTGCTGGCCATCTCTACACTGCCACAGACTCAATCTGTGAAAATGAGAAACTGCACTGGTTTGAGACAACAGATATAAACACGTACTTACTCTGGTGCCAAAAAGGGTGAGGTAAGGTACCCTATATATACACATTGTAAAGCTCATTCTAGTAGGTTACTCTTTTTATTTTTATTTTAAAGTAACGGATTCAACTTAAAAGTTTAAGTTAGCAGTGGATGAGATTATATTAATAATTTTTATATATTTTTATATGGCCTTCACAAAAGAATCATTGATCTTGAAAGATGGATAATGCACCAATAACAGCCTATTTATTCTAATAAATTTCACAAAGAAAATGAAAGGCTGTGAGAATCCAACCCTAAACACCAAAATGAATCAATTTAATCCAAATACATTAATAATTTTTATATATCTCTACCACTTTTGATAACACCAAACCAGTCACTGTTTTATGGGTTTTATGTTTGTTATGTTACATAATGTAACATAATTTTCCTACGCACAATTTTATGTGGGTCCCATCTCTTGATTTTTCTCTCTTCTTTCTTCTCTCTCCTCTCTTCTCAATTGTGTGTGTAGAAAAGTTATGTTAGATCATGTAACATAATAAACATAAAACCTTTATTTTATATCTATAAATATTGATATACTATAAATTGAAGGAACGTGCTGCGAGGGACTTTGTTAGTGGTTGCACTTAGTGGATGATTACGTGGAATCTCTTCCATGCTATACACTAATTTATACCTTAATTGGTACCCACTTTTGACTTAAGCCTTCCTCAATATTTTACATTATTAGTATAGGCAAATTGAGCCAATCAGCTGCGTCCACATTTCGTGTTTCTGTTCACTTCACATATGAAGATATATGAGTGCTTGAGATCGAGCACAATAATACACATATACATTGGGGTTCTTTGATCATCTAGAATACTATTTTCCTTCAATAAATCAAATAAGGGCTGAAATAAAATTATTTGAGAATTAAGATTAGGTGAGCAAAACACCTTCTCCTCCAACTTAAATAATATATTAATAATTAAGGTCACAACTACATCAAATTAAACAGATAAAATGAAAATTGTGTGATTTTTTTTTTTTGGTAAGAGCACAATTGCAACTCTTCTAAGGATAACATAGATACTCTTAAAAATTAATCAATGTCAAAACAATATGATCCAAATGGACTGCAAATGAAGTCTTTTAGTCCTTATAGGTGTCTAGATCAACTTATCAGGTAGTCCACATTGCACACAACACTTCTTTTTCACGAAAAAATATTTATGCAGCACCAACACCCACCACTACCATAACTATCATAATATGAAATATTCCCTACGCCTACAATCCAAAATCTGTCGGTGGTGTTTGTCTACTTTCTTGTAATGTACTCTTCAAAATGACAAATGGCACTCTATTATATAGCTTCAGTAGCTTCCTGTATCGCACTCTGCCTACAATCATTACAGGATTGAACTCATATCAATGAATATTGACCATATCAAAATGGGCACAATGGGCCATTTTCATTTTCTCTAAATTACTCCATACATATTTAATTTAAAATAAACGAGCAACATATTCTCATACATTAATTAATAATTAATATCTGGGTTATTGTGGCCATTATAATGGCAAAATGAAAATAAAGAAGAGACTTTAGAGGCACCACTAAATTTTGCTTAGCTTAGTGGTACACGTATGCGTGTCTATATATCTAACCCTCACTCACTAGAGTTGTGCTTTTGAGTCAAATAGTTTTTAATTAATATCAGCTATATATATCATGTCATTGAAGGATGAGCGTGATCTTAATTTTTGATATCCATGTGTGTGGAAAAAACTGTACCTTTTTTAAAAGATCTGTTTATAAAATTTTTTTTAATAAATTTTTGTAAATTACATTATGTATATTCGGGAGAACATAGTATAGTATAACCTAATATTCTCTTAGGAGAATATAGTATAATTTATAAATAAAAAATTTATAAATATAACCCTTTCCTATATATACATTCTAAAATATCCTTGTAACTATCGATATACATGGGGCTCATGTTTTCGCGTATGGATTTTTTTCCTTTTGCATTATTTCATCTTTTTTAAATATTGATTTGACTGTGAAGAGTCACCTAGGGTGTGTTTGGTTGGAGGTTTTTGAAGAGATTGATAGGTAAATGTGAAGTGGGGAAATTTGGTGTCCATATTTGGTTGAGAGAGGTTCCAAATTTATCTACCTAAATGAGTATGCTAGCAAACCACTTTGTTTATCATTTTGGGAAGAGATTGCCGGCCAAAAAAACCCTTTTCATATGTGGTATTTGCGGTTAGCTATGTATTTGGTTTAAGGGTCCCTTTTTTCTCATGTTGTAGGAGAAAAAATTCTCCTATTATAGACACAATAAGTGATAGGTCCCACCTCTAATTAAAAAACAAAAATAAAAAAAGTTGTTGCACACATTTCGATGTCTCTCTAGTAGGAGAAAAGATTCTTATGTAACATGAGAATTCTTTTCCCCTTGGTTTAATGGGTGTAATAAACAAAAGACCAACTTACCCTCTGTTACGAGCGTACTTCAATGTTTTAATATTTTAATATTGTAATGTTGCCATCTACTTTTGATTCTTATAAAAGACAAATAATTTATTATTATTTTAGCAAACATCATCTTTTGTTTCTGTCCATGCATTACGATATGTAATTCATCTTTTTTTTTCTCTTTTCCTTTTTTTATAAAAAAAAAACAAACATGATTTGAATACCTTAGCTATTCGTTTTAATTCACGGCCGTTTTTATAACTGATTCATTTTTTGAAAACCAAGGTTATTTTCGTAATAGCATTTTTTATCCCATCTATATTTTACCAAAAGCCAAACATAGACTTTACAAAAGTTACCTAATTTCTCCGGTAAATTTTTTCCCAACCAAATAACTATTTTTACATTTTCCTACCAAACTCACTTTTCAACTATTTTCCTACTAATCATATTTTCCTATGATTCATAAAAATTTCCCCTTAACCAAACGCCCCCACATATAAATTACAATTCCTTATTCCACCGCAATACAGCAACCACCAATAAACACCCAATCAATTTACTCATCTCAGACCAATCATTTTTTATTTTTATTTTATAAACCATATGTATCTTTCTTTCGCGTAGTAATCCTGTTCGAGTGGGGAAGTTGAGAACATTCACATTATGGTGGAGTTAATTTTCACAAAAAAAAAAATTTGCAGTCACAAAAATTTGAGTACAAAACTTTGCTTAAACGAAATCAAGCATATATAACTAACCATTTTGATTCGGACCAATAATTAATCACCGGTTCATCTATCTGAAACCAACAAATATAAATTATTTTAAAGAGTACTATGTTAATATGGAAATAATTTCTTTAGAAAAAGCACAGTATTCTCATATTATGTTTTATCACTTTTAGCAGATAACTTGAATGTAAGAGTGATAAATGAGAGAATTCAAATCTAAAATCAACTTTCCTGCTAATGGTTTATATATTACTGTATTATAAAAAGTACCCCAAACATATTGGCCTTCCAAATTGATGAAGTAAATGAGCTATAAATGTCGGGATTCAATTTCCTACCTATCCATGAGGTGGTGCTCAAACGAGCTTCAAATTAAAAAAATGTTGTTAATTAGTCAGGGAACCTCACACGTGAATTCTTTATTGGCTAATTAAATTAACATATAGATGAGTACCAAATTCAGATATAAACGCAATTGAAGATAAACCGGCCGGTTTTCTTTCTTCTTTCTTTTTTAGACAGAATTAAATCATTTGATAAAATCCAGGGACTATATTAATAAAATCATTTGAACCAATTATGTAGAAAGTCATAGAATTTTGCAATTTTAATCTCGAACTAATGTTCCATTAATGAACCAAACATAGATCATAGAAAAAAAAAATTGTAGTAAGAACTTTACCACATTGAAACACAACATGTTGCTTTTAATTAATACTTTCTTTTATCGCTTTCATTTTGTTTAAGGACATCAATCTTATTCTTCATCCAATTGATGTTAATATGTTGCAGCAGATCTCAGTTCTATGGTTGATAACACAAATTCATCTCGAGGAACAAATATTGAAAAAGTTCCCAAAAGGATTTATCTAATTAGAAAAATATGTATCAGGAACCAACTCATGAACAACATCCATATCACTCACGCTATAATTCCTCCCATTTGAGTTTAGAATTTTGTGTTGGAATTTTATATATATATATATATATATATATATATATATATATATATATATATATATATATATATATATATATATATAAATTGTGTAGAGAATCTATTGGTTATGAATAAGAAGTTTGGTAGTGAAAGAGTGTGTCTTTTCGTCGACAAACAGATGTATCTTTTCATCCTAAAGGATGTGTTGTTTCATCCGAACGGATGTGTTGTTTCATCCGAACGGATGTGTTGTTTCATCCGAATAGATGTGTTGTTTCATCCTAACGGACATGTTGTTTCATCCTAACAGACATGTTGTTTCATCCTTGAATGGGTGCCTTTTCGTGTTGAATGAATGTGTCTTTTCGTGTCCAACGGATGTGTTGTTTCGTCGTCGAATAGGTGCCTTTTGAAACGTGACCGGTCAGTGTCTATAAATAGACACTGACACCTTCATAAAATGTATCCAGTTTTCTGCACTTAAACTCTGCCGAAATTTTTCTCCTTCCGGTTTTGCATACTGTTGTTCATCCTCCGGTGTGATTTCCTCTGGCAATTGTTGTGTTCGTTTGGGCTGTTGATTGGTAGTGCCACTATTCTTCAGACGTAATCCGTTCTATCCTGGGAGACAAGTGTCCATCAACCTTAGGCATCAGTGAGGGGGCAAATTGTCTTAAGGAGACACGTTCTGTGGGCTCGGATTTAATTCATCTACTTCTGACATATCATTCTATCTGTTCTATCATTCTGCTTGCATCATCATCTGATTTCAAGTAAGTCAGTTCTTTAATTTTAATATTTATAATTGCACAGTGATAATTCTGATCATCTACCTCCTCTGGTTCTATACATGGGTTCAAATCTTT